TGCCGGGTGGACTTATAGTCATGATCTACAGCAACTGAATTTTAAATTCCCCAACTACCACAGCGCGATTTGAACTCTAGATTATTAGTCCATGAGCCATTAAGACTCTAAGAAAGTCTAAAGAAGTATGATTTTCAGCTTCTTGAGCCAGCTCAGACATTCAACAGGATCACGGCTGATCTAATACTCCTCACATTCACTTTCCTGCCTTTTCCCTATACCCTCGTTCCTCTACTGATCAAGGATCTATCTGAGTCTTAAATATACACAAGTAGACTGCTCCCACTGCTCTCCGTGAAAAAGAGTTCCAAAGGCTCACAACCCTCTGAAAGAAGACATTCCTCCTCAGCTCAGTCTTAACTTGGTGCCCCTTTGTTTTGATAAAATGCCCTCTGCTTCTAGACTCTCCCAAAAGGGGAAACATCTTCTCTGCATTCACCCTGTCAAGCCCTTTAAGAATTCTTTATTTCTCAATGAGATCACCTCTCATTCTTCTAAATTCCAAACAGTAGAGTCCCAATCTGTCCAAACCCTTAGGTTACTCCTCAAATTTTATTTCAGATTTCCAGTGTTTGCAATATTTCTTGACTGTAGCATTTAAATAATCTAGCCTGATGGGCAAGTATAGCTATGAGCAAAGATGTGAGAAGATATGGTGGAAGTATATAAAATATTAATTAGTACAAATAAGATGAAACTAGAATATTACTTCATTACGTCAGACCAGCAAAATCAAATTATATAAATTTAAATTATTCAACAGTATATTTAACATGCGATCTTAACGAGAAACCTTTTATTCTCATTTAAAAAAAAAAGTTTAAGATAGAGTAGCAGAAAGAAAGACCTTAGTCAGTTTTCAAAATGCTAGGCTGAGGAAACTGGACATCAAAACTGTTGTATAAGGTAATAGTTCTAAAAAGATTAATGTTGGAGACTGTCTTAATCTTTATCCAATCTGATAGTTTTGGGCGGTTTTGAGTGGGGATAAGGCAGAACATCTTAGGATCTTGTAAAATGAACACCTCTACCTAAGTCTCCCAATATGTCTTAGCAACAATGTCTTTCTTACTACTGTAACTTGTATCTGACTGCTAACTTGGAATGAACCAAATCTTGTTCAAAACAAGTATCTCCGTTTTTCTGAGACTCCCTTAGTGGCAGTAAACTACCCCAAACGCAAGCTGTCAGCGGTTTGTAACCCAAAACCAAATATGACAAAATAAATAAGTTCTGATTTCTTTGTGTGTTTGACTATACCTCTGCTCCTAGCTCCTGTAGCAAACAGCTAATTAAAATCAAGCTGCAATACATTCTAACTCATTGCCTTACACACCTTTTCCTTAGGGTCAATGGAACTGAAATGTTAACTCCACTTCCTCTGCGCAGATGCTGCCAGACGTGCTGAGTTTTGAAGGCTATTTCTATTTTGGTTTGAGATTTCCAGCATCTGCAGTTCTTTTTGTTTTGTCTTTAGGTTTGTTTTTCTTCCTCCGCTATGTCTTGTATCTTTCTCCAGCTCCCTGGTAGTAACTCCACTTCCATTATTAATTCTATTACTCTTTTCCTTTTTTCATTCACGGGATAAGGGCGCATGCAGGCTAGGCCAGCATTTATTGCCCATTCCTAATTGCCCAGAGGGCAGTCATGAGTCAACCACATTGCTGTGAGTCTGGAGTCACATGAAGGCCAGACCAGGTAAAGATGGCAGTTTCCTTCCCCAAAGGACATTAGTGAACCAGATAGGTTTTTCCTGATAATCAACAATGGATTCATGCTCATTATTAGGCTCCTAATTCCTAATTTATTGAATTCAAATTCCACCATCTGCCGTGGCGGGATTTGAACCCAGGTCCCCAGACCATTATCTGGATTAACAGTCTGATGACAATACCACGAGGCCTTTGCCTCCCCATAATGTTATAATATTAGGAAAGGGAATGGTGAAAGTTGAAAATATTTTAGGGGAGAATAAAGGAAGTAAATGTTCATTAATCAATGCTTTTTTCATCACATCAATATTGGCCCCATTATAGCAATACCACTCAAAATTATCCCATTCGCCAATACTATCCCCATCAATTTATTAGTGTCCATGATCACCTCCCTAACAAATATGGTCCCCATCACAACAAAAATGTCCACAACAAACTCCTTCTGCAATATCCTTGTTTAGTCTATTGAATAAAAAGAAAATGGCAGTGATGGGAACAGCATCAATGTCCAGAGCCCAGGAAAAGCTATTGTGTAAAATACTTTGAATTATTTCATCATTATGATAAATTGTTTATACATATGTAAATATTTCCTTATCATTTTACTTCCATTATTCTCCCTAATAATATTCCCAGCTTTCACCATTCCCTTTCCTAATATTATAACATAATGGGGGCAAATTAGCTTAGATGGTTGTTTATAATACAGTGTAATGCCAGGAGTATTTTCCACAATAATTCCCACTCCAGCTGAGGTTACCATGAAGGACTCTCCTCAATCTCACCCCTGGCCTGAGGTGTAGTGACCGTCGTGTTGAACCATCAACAATCATCTCTCTCTAATGAGACAGTGGGACTATGGCAAGTTTATCTTTTGATTACAATGAGATTACAGGCTTTAGAAATCCAAAATAAAAGCAGAAAGTCCTGGGAATACACACAAAGTGGGTTGGCAGCTGTGCATGGAAATGGAGAAATTAATTTCTTGGATGCATTCACATCATCAGAATGACCACTTTTCTCACAAAATCACAAAATTATTTGGCTGTAACATTGGCAAAATTGGCACCAAAAATCAGAAACATTCAGCATCCAAGTTTTGACCTTCAAATAATTTGCAAGACACTGAAGCCCTTTATATTTCAATTGAAAATACTTAAGAGGAGAATCGATCAAATTTCAACTTTGCTCATTTATGCACGTATCCTGTAACACTGCACTCCAGCAGATAATAATTGGGTCACAGTTAACCCAAGACCTTGGCAAGGCAAAAGCTCAGTACCAGAAACAGAACTGCAGTAGAAAAGCAAGTGTCAGCAAAATGAAAGATGCTGCTGATTTATCAGTTGAGATCTTCCCATTAACATCCACCCTCAGCAGTGACATTTCAGCTGAGGCAGTTGAAAAATATTCATTAACATGTCTCTAACGTAATCATCCATAGTTAATAATGAAACTGCACATTACAGCTCCTGATTGGAAAATCCCATTAGAGTCTACACAGAAAACAAATTGGGACAAATTGTCTTGGAGAAAAATGATGGGATTTTTCTCTTCTTTCCCCTTTGCAGTTTTTCTCAAAATCTCCTACTGAAGGCTTGGCGTTCAAGGACTCATTTGATTTGGTCAACAAATAGGAAGGTAGAATCAGGATTTAGCATAAGATGGACAATTCACTTTAGACCCATCCCTGAAGACATTTGACTTCCCAGAATTCCCATCTTCAAATACTCCATCCTGCATCTGACCACATCTCCCTGACCTGTCATGACTCAATTAGAACATGCTTGACTGCCAGTCAATGTGACGAATTCTCACAGACAGCTAATTTGATATTCCACAAACATAGAAATCAGTTTCCAGAGCCAGAGAGGTTGTTCAGCACAAATTATGACTCAGTATCCTTTAGAAGCTCAGTTGCATATTATTCAACAAAGCTTAACCTTTACAAGGGTTTTTAATAGCAAGAATAATAGCATAAAAGTGAAATTTAACATCAAAAAAATTCAGTGATTTCCTTCCACACAGAGTGCAACAACGCCTTTCCTGCAGAGGTGGGGAGAATCCCAGAATTCCCAGATTTCCACATTTTCCTGCCCGTGTGCAGGTGACAGATGTTGCCATCAGTTTTGTGTTGTAAAAGACAAAAACAAAACGCTTGCAGTTTTGCCAACATTTCAACAGCAAAATCTGGGCCTACAGCTAAAAATGTGCAAAAATAATACAAGTAACCTATAACAAATATTTTTAGAGCCCTTATGAACTTTCCTGTGAATTACCTGCAACAATATCCTGGCCTATTCCTGCATCTTTCTACTATGTTTCCAGGTAACCACCTGCTTGGCTTTGGAGTAGAATGCAATGAAATACAAAAGTCTGCTCTGGACTGTTCTAGTCATGTGACTTCTGCCATGAGGCACGCAGCTGGTAAATCGATGTCCAAACTTTCACTTCGATAAAGTGCTTGTGTTGAACACACTGCTTGTGTTGTGCACTCAAAACACTTAGTCCATAAAGTGGCCCTAATTGGCTAATTGCTGTTGCCAGGAGGATGGTTACTTTCAATTAGATCATCAGGAGGTGGGAATGTATGGAGAGAGGTGCATGGGGAAATTGATTTGCAAAATGATTGACAGATACACTCTTGGTCCCACTGGGAAGATACCCCCCACTTCTCAGTGAGAACACCATTGGTTCACATCCTACTCCAGTGGGATTTGAGACCATAATCCAGGCTGACACTTCAGTTCAGAACCAGGGAGTTCTGCACTACCAGAGGTGCCATGTCATCTTTTCGATGAAACCTCATATGGGAGCCCCATCTGCCCTCAAGTAAATGTAAGAGTTCTGCTGAAGAAGAACAGGGGAGCTCTGAGAAAAGCATATGAGCCTGTCTTTTGTTGGATTTTGTTTTGCTCAAATTGGTCACCCTGTCTCATCTTTACAATAGAGGCTCAACAGGGTGTAAAGTACTTTGGGAGGTCCTGAGGTCATGAAAAATCATAATTCAACATAAACTGGACTTTTGGAGCCATCAAGTCTCTACAGCTCAGTTTAACGCATGGCAGCACATCCAAAAAGACCATCTTTCTCTGTTGCTAAGCAATCACATGTAATGACGTCTTCCCTAGCACAAAGAACAAAAGTCCAAATCTTACTAAAGCTCCAGAGCAGTGAAATTGTATTTTAGATGCATTCATGTGGCACAGAGAGTTTGCAATTGTGTAACATCTGTCATGTAAACCACATAATGAGATTCAAACAACCAGGGACAGGCAGTCTTACCTGGAGCTCTACTCCATACCCATTGAAGACAGTCACATTGAAGGTACACTGCAGGGAGCCGTACGCAGATAATGGAAGAAAATCCGTGGAGTCTATGTACCCCTCTGAGTCTGAGAAACTGACACTGCATGGAACTGGAAACAGAAAATTACTTAATAACTGGAAACAAAATTACTTAATAAACATATTTCAAGTCACCTTGTTATAGACCTCTTCATTTCAGAAGAATTAAAGCATTGAACTACTTTGTTACAGTAATGAAGTTTATAGTATACTTTTGGATCTTTAAATTTCGCATAAATTAAAGGCTGGGGGTGTGTGTCATGTTCTAGTGATCCCCTCTGAAATCCACCTGACAGTAAGCCTGCATGAATTGCTTATCAGAGTTCAAAGGAAATTTTAGATTGCTGTATTAAGAAAAATAGCACACTGTAGATGATACGGCAACCTCTGAGTTTACCATAAATTTAACAGACTATGATTCTCCCAAAGTCCCAGAAATGTGTTGAAGGTATAGGGTTTTAAGCAGTTGAACTATAAAGTCTCCATTTGGTTCTAAGGTCTTGCTGCAGTTATACACGGCCTTGGTGAGGCCGCACTTTGAGTATTGTGCACAGTTTTGGTCTCCTAGTCTGAGAAGGATATTCTTGCTATTGAGGGAGTCCAGTGAAAACTCATCAGACTGATTCCCGGGATGTCAGGACTGACATTTGAAGATAGAGTAGACCAACTGGGCTTGTACTCACTGGAATTTAGAAGAATGAGGGGGGATCTCATAGAGACATATAAAATCTTGATGGGACAGGTGAGATGCGGGAAGAATGTTCTCGATGTTTGGCAAGACCAGAACTAGGGATGACAGTCTAAGAATAAGGGGTAAGCCGTTCAGGGCTGAAATGACAAAGAATTTCTTCACTCAGAGAATTGTGAACCTATGAAATTCTCTATCATGGGAAGCTGTTGGGGCCAGCTCGTTAGATATATTCAAGAGGGAGCTTGTGGCTAAAGGGATCAAGGGATATGGAGAGAAATTGGGAGTGGGATACTCAGATTGGATGATCAGCCATGATCATATTGAATGGTGGTGCAGGCTTGAAGGACTGAATGGCCTACTCTTACTCTTATTTTCTGTGTTTCTAGGAAAGGAAGTTGGGATCGAGGATAGTGAATTAATATTTCTACCGTGATACATGATTAATGTATTTCAAGCTGCCATGGTGAGGAAGGCTGAGAGAACCATTTTTGAGATCAGGTTACACACTTCCCTATAAATCAGTGGGTATCAGATAACAGAGTGTCTGGGTAATCAGCAAAGAGAAAATGATGCTTGGCTTTGCAAAGCCGGGCATGTGAGAAAGACTAGGTTTCTTGTTGAAGAATTGTGTCATGGCTGGAAGAAGAAGCTTCAAGCCAAACTTTATTGCTGGGGGTGGATTGATGAAAGTCTCTGCAAACTGAGAACTGAGGTAGTCACTCGTGTAGCTAATCTGCCAAAGGGGCATACAGAAGTTGGGACTAACTGTTGCTAGAAGGACTGTAATCCAAAGTTTTGAGAAGATTTGTAGCTCGGGTTGTGGAAGAGGTTGTGGACATGTTCGCCGAGCCAGTGGGTTGGATTGCAGACATTTCAGGGTGACAAAACATCTGCAAACAAACACAACAGCTCAGCGAGCAAGTCTATAACCTCAAGTCTACAACCACAGTAATCTCATGGCTATGCAGTGGGCAATAACTAAACAAGGGAATGTCACTTTCTGTAGTTTAAAGTATAAGTTGCCTATGAAAGGAAAATAGTGTTTAATTGATAGTGTTTTTAGTCACTTGTCGCGGTAAAAATCTTGAAGCATGAGATCCTGCTAAATCTCCCTTCTCATCTGTTAACAAGAAGATCAGATTTATTTTTAATGATCCAAACCTAATACAGTTCAATATGTTCTGCTGTGGTTAACTTTATATCAAGCATGGAATTTTATGGTAATTGACCTTATCTCAAGTTGCTGGCACTATATAGTTTTAGCCTTGGCTTGCAGCATCAGCAACTAAAGTCAATTATACTTCAGGATAGCATCTTCAATAGCTTAACTAACTATTCCTACACTTCATTGTATTTCACCAGCCAGTTGAGGTAAGCACAAATTGGGTGCAGTTATGGTCAACCAAGCTTGATAGAATCAGAGAACTCTCATACTGTGGAAGGAGACCAATCAGCCCATCAAGTTCACATTGGACCTCCAAAGAGCATCCTACCCAGCACCCGCCCCCTATCATATCCCATTTCCCCACATTTCCCATGGTCAATTCACCTCACCTACACATCCTTGAACACAATTGAGCATGGCTAACCCACCCAACGTGAACATCTTCGGACTGTGGGAGGAAACCTACACAGACACTCACCTCGAGGCTGGAATCTAAACGCTGCGAGGCTGCAGGGCTAACAACTGAGCCACCCTCAAAGTTCATAGAATCTCTACAGGCCATTCAGTCCAACAAGTCCACACTGCCCTCCAAAGAGCATCCCAACCAGACCCATCCCCCTACCCTTTAACCCCTCTATTCTCCATAAGTTACACACCCCTGGACACTATGGGGAATTTAGCATGGCCAATCAACCTAACCTGGATACCTTTGGACTGTGGGAGGAAACCGGACCACCCAGTGGGAACACACGCAGACACGGGGAAAATGCACAAACTCCACACAGACAGTTGCCCAAGGGTGGAATCGAACCCAGGTCCCTGGTGTTGTGAGGCAGCAGTGCTAACCACTAAGCCACCATGCTACATTGAGTGTGAGAGGTGGGATGCCATGTTACGGCTGTACAGGACATTGCTGAGACCACTTTTGGAATACTGCATTCAATTCTCGTCACCCTTCTGTAGGAGGGATGTTATTAAACTTGAGAGGATGCAGAAAAGATTTACAAGCATGTTGCTGGGACTGGAGTGTTTGAGCTATAGGGAGAGGTTAAATAGGCTGGAACTTTTGTCACTGGAGCATCGAAGACTGAGGGATGACCTTATAATGTTTATAAAATCATGTAGGCCATGGATAGAATGAATAGCCAACATCTTTTTCCCATGGTAGGGAAGTCCAAAACTAGGGGGCATAGGTTTAAGACGAGAGGGGAAAGATATGAAAGGACCTGAGGGGCAGCTTTTTCATGCAGAGGATTGTGTGTGTATGGAAAGAGATGCCAGAGGAAGTGGTGGAGGTGGGTACAATTACAACATTTAAAAGGCATCTGGATGGGTATATGAATAGGAAGGGTTTAGAGGGATATGGGCCAAATGCTGACAAATGGGTCTAGATCAGATTAAGATGTCTGGTCAGAATGGATGAGTTGGACAGAAGGATCTGTTCCTATACTCTATGACTCTATCACTCAGATACACAAGCAATCATTTTGAACTCTCTTTGAGAAGAGCTGGAGAGATCTTTCCAGTGTCCTACGCTAAACCTATTTTTTTTTAAGCAATCTGTTCAGACATGCTATTACATACCTCTGAAGCTGATGGGGCTTTAACCTGGATATGCCAACTGCACCACAAGAGCCCACAACTCTATTTTAATGTTAAATACTCAACAAGTGAGTGTTGCCAGCTCTAGGAAATAGAACGCTTTTTTAAAAAATAATTTTCTAATCAACCTGATCAGAAATGCTATTACATACCTCTGGAGAAGTGGGACTTGCACTCAGATATCTTGGCTTAGAGGCAGAGACCTCACCACTGAGCCGAAAGAACCCTGAAGACTAATGTTGTTTTATACCCAAAAGTGCTCTAATACACAACTGACTGTTTTTTTACCTGCATCACCAAATCACCCAAGGCATTTTCCATCTATTAGCCACCACCAGTCGATGATCCGTGTTCTCCAATTTACACACAAAGTTCAATAAAGGCAGTGCAGACCATCAAGCCTACTCCATTCATCAATGAACATTGTGAGGATCAGGTGATTTGAACATTAGTCTTATTGCTGTTAGCGGGATCTTGCTGTGCTCAAATTAGGCCCTGCATTTCCTGCATTACAACGGTGATTTCTCTTCAAAAATCTGTGACTGCCTGTCAAGTGCTTCGGAACACTTTGGCATCGTGATGGGCGCTATGTAGATGCAAGATCTCCTTTTTCACACAAGTGATGAGGCATGCAGAATGAATTTGATTTATTTCATTGGGGAGAGGGAGACGGTGAACTGCCCATTGAGCTGCCAAATGTTGAATTTGTCAATAACGTCTGAGGATCAAATCCACGATTCTCTGACCTCAAGCAAAAACTGAAATTGAGCTCAAGCGTGAAAAATCTACCTCAGGGTTTCATATGGAGGACTCCCAATACTTCACCTGTAATCAGTGGGTGGCTGTCAACTGTCAACTCTCATTCCCCCCTACTGCCTCTCTCATCCCTGGGCATACTGTGGCCTCTCAATACCCAATGAGCTGCCGTAGGGCTATGACAGACATGAACTGCTCATTATACTTCCCAACCCAGCTCATCCAATCTATCGAACCTGATTTGGCTGCACATGTCTTTAGGTGGAAGCAACTGGGCCTGAGGTGTCTCCTGGACCCCTATGATCAAAATCACAAGGATCATGCCATGTGGATGTGACATGCAAGATTCGTCAGATAAGGTGAGCCTTTCTTTGTCTCTTTGAGCTGGATTCAAGCCTGGGCCCCACATACCAACTTCTTCTCCCTCCTTCAATCTTCCATTCCAAAGCCAAATCCCAGGGGATACTAATGCCTTTATATTCTGAGACCCTAGGCTGCTCTACATATCTCTCTCTAAACCTCGCCACCCTTGTCTCTCGCTTTAAAAAATTCCTTGAAACAAATAGCATTCGTCAGACTTTCGGCGACCTTTTCTAATACCTTGTTATATAACCGCTGTGACATTTTCTTTGATAAATGTTCCTGTGAACGCTACACATCAGAGGTTAAAGGTTCATTAGGTAGACAACAGGTATACATGTTCTGAGTCAAAGTTTAATTCCAATTTACACAACCCCTAAGTTTCCAACATGTGAATTATTTGTTGGCAATTCAAATAGCCAGTTCTCAACCAGTTATCCATTCATTAACATATAACCATCATCTACTCCTTAGGCGTTGTAGGCATAGTTACCAGATTTTATGGGATGAGAACAGAGAAGCAGTTTGGGTTATTTTACTATGTGAAAGGTGCTAGCTAAAGGCAGGTTGTTGCTGGAAATACCTGCTGTCTGTAGACTGGTGATGACAGTAGTTGTTACGATGGTGGTGGTAGTTGTGTCTCTGCTTCCTTGTGTCACTGCTGCCAGATTGCCCAGTTCAGAATCCTTCCGGGAAAGGTCTGTACCTGTCATTGGGGTCTGACGGGCAACAGGGGGGACGACTCTCTGATCTGGTGAGCGGTCCTTGCTGGAGCTGGGCGTTGCCTCCAAACTGGGACGGACGTTCTCAAGGTCGGGCGGATCTGTGACATGGGCCCCCAACTGAATAGGCGGCCACGGAGTGGTACCATCACGAGTGGGGCTCGGTGATTTAGTGTGCCTGCCTAGACCGGCAGGAGGAGCTTCCGATCTGATGCCCGATGGATCTTCAGGAACTCCTGGCTTCTCTGTCACTAACTCGGGGATGGAGGATGGAGAGTGAGGGGTTGAGTAAGAAGGGAGGGCCCTTGACGATGGTGGGGCTGCGGTCACCGGAGGTGACTCGAGTATCCCAGTTGGCACTCCTTTGGCACTCAGGCGTCTGCGTAGGGCCTCCACCTGCCTGCGAGAAGGAAGCTGGCGCCTTTGTGGGGGAGGTGGGATGGTTATTCCGGTGGGATTGGAAGAGGGCAGTAGCAGTGCTCCTTGGCGCAGCAGGAGGTCCTCCTTCTGCATGACTGCATTGACCAAGTTGGTCTGGGTGTGGCCGGTGCCCAACGATTTCGTGGGCTCTTGCTCTCCGTCACTTGCGTCAATGCTTTGAACTGTTTGACCACTCTCCAGCTGGGGGGATGTGGTTGTGGCACCGATGCCTTCTTGCGGAACAGCATCTGAGACAAAAGGAGAAACAGAACTGCATTCAAAATGAAGCAAACAACTTTTCAAGTAGTGTTGCTGACTGAAAGTCCAAAAAATGTTTGTCACATGAACTCTCATCTGTAAAAGCCCCCAGCCAGTAGAAAAACCTTTACCCCACTTTACAATAAGGCGCCATTTTTCAATAATTGCAAGTACAAAAATTGACAGAAACCTTTAATTTTTTTAGTGCCACTCCCCTCCCCCAATGTTTTCTCTCCTTTTATTTCTACTTGCTCATGGGCAGCATGGTGGCTCAGTGGTTAGCACTGCCCCCTCATGGATCCAGGGACCTGGGTTCAATTCTAGCCTCTGTGTGGAGTTTACGTGTTCTCCCCACATCTTGTAAGTTTCCTCCCACAGTCCAAGGATGTGCAGGTTAGGTGGATGAGCCATTGTAAATGCAGGGCTTTGGGGATAGGGTGTGGGGGGATGGGTCTGGGTGGAGGGTTGGTGCAGACTGAATGGGCCAAATAACCTCTTTCCGCACTGCAGTGATTCCACAGATGTGAGTGTTGATAGCATTTAGTGCTCACCCCTAATTCCAGGTAAATATCAACCGCAATGCTGTGGGTCTGGAGTCACTTGTAGGCCTAACTGGGTAAGGACAGCAGATTTCCTTCCCAAAAGAGCATCAGTGAATTAAATAGGTTTTTAAACAATGGTCAACACTAGGCTAAGCCTTTAAAGTTCAGATTTTTATTGAAATCAAATTTCACCGTCTGTTATGACAGGATGCAATCTCACTTCTGCAGAACATTGGCTTGGAGAGGGTCTGTAGTACTAGCCCAGCAACATTATACTACACCACCAACTTCCCTGCTTGAGGGTAAGTCAAGGACATGAACCTTAAGTTTTTGGAGACACCAGGCCATCCCTGGAGAATTGGTGATGCAACAGAAAAGCATTGTATGAGCAAGACACCCGTAAAAGGAAGTAACAGATGGGAAGAATACAGAATATAACATTCTGATGCTTTTTTCAGTCACTCTATACATTGTCATTACATTTATTCCATGGTTATTGGTGAATCCCCCAGTACAAGGCCATATGCTCCATGTCATCAGTAATATTTTGAACCTCATAGAACTGTCCAATGAGTTGTGATTCTGGGTTTAGGTTCCACCTCCTTTGAATTGAACACCAAGACCAAGGCTGGGGCTCCAGTGCAGTACTGAGGGAGGTGATGTATTTGGACAAGATGCTAAAGGTGAGTCCTGCCAGGCCTCTTAGTTGGATGCAAAAGATCTCAGGGTTCCTTATTGTCCTGGCCAAGATCTCTCCCTCAAACCACATCACAAACAGCAGATGACTTGTTTATTGTCATATTGCTGTTTGTTGGAGCTGGCTGTGTGTAAATTGGCTGCTGTGTTTCCGACAGTGACTACACTTCAATAATACTTTAATGGTTGTAAAATACATTGAGACATAGGGTGGCTCAGTGGCTCAGTGGTTAGCACTGCTGCCTCACAGCACAAGAGATCAGGGTTCAATTCCACCCTTGGGTGATTGTGTGGAGTTTGCACATTCTTCCCTGTGTCTGTGTGGGTTTCCTCCAGGTGCACTGGTTTCCTCCCACAGTCCAAAGATGTGCAGGATAGGTAGATTGGCCATGCTAAAGTGCCCAGGGATGTTTAGGTTAGGTGGGTTAGACACGAAAAATTGGAGGAATTGGTCTGGGTGGGATGCTCTTCAGAGGGGTGATGTGGACTTGTTGGTCCAAATGGTCTGTGTCCACACTGTAGGGATTAAAAGTAGAAAATTTAAAAAAATTGTGAAAGGTGTTTCTTCTCCTCATTTCTTGAAGAACATGATAATAATGGGATGTGTGAAAGAGTCACCTGACTCAGTAATAGTGCAGCTGAAGATTTCAGTGTTTGATAGACTGATTTTAGATGTGTAAAAACTATAAGTTGAGAATGGATGTCTTTAATCAGTGTAGCATTTGAATAAATCATTATCATGTTCTGTTGTATCTGATAATTGGTATCCTGACTGCAGTGACACGTTGAAAGTGATCCAAATCACCTTTAACAAGCAGTAGAGGGTCGACACAGAGATTTAGATTTTATTGTCAAGCGCACTCAAGTACATAAGAACAGCTGTACTGTGAAAAGTGTAAACTGTCACCACACACGGCCCCATCTTAGGTACTAAGGTACCTAGGTACAAAAACTTTGGTGCAAGTAGTAAAAGAAACAAAGTTAAAGAAAAAGGTAAGCAAGTAAAAAAATAAAGAAATAAGGTAATAGTTAACATTAAAGCCCTTAATATAAACTGGAAAAATAAAGTAATGGCCTTGGGCTGTGACCACTACAATTTAAAGTCAATTGCAGATATTTAAACAGACTTGAGCAATGTGCAAGGAGAGGTAGTAGCCAATGAAGCATAAAAGATGAAGAAAGGCAAAATTAAATAAGAAAAGAATTCCCATTTAGCAAAAGGAACTTCAATATAAATGTGGAATTCAAACTCTTTTCCAGTCACTGGAACTGTAACAGCTGCCTTTCTTGTCTTTGAAATGAAACAATCAACTAAAGAATCAAATAAGCCTTTCACTATTGAAAATGACACTGGCCTGAGTTTTGCCCAATTTATCTGTCATTCAATGTGTAATTCACTTCCACACAAATAATTTGCTGTTAAACTTTCATTCTCCCAGTGAGAAAACAGGTCAGGGTCTGAGATTAATTTCTAGATTTGATTTCTTTTTTCTTTCATTTAAGTCTAAATTTTGAGCTGTGAGAGGGATTGGGACTGAATTTGCACGGAAGTATTTCCTCATAATGCAGTGGGGTGGGGAGGATGAGGATGGGACTGGGGGGATTGTTGGGTGCATGGGGGAAAGTGAGGTGCACCTATTACAGCTGATCCAATTGACAAATCAAAATCTTTCAATGCAACTACATTGTGCTTCTATTTTAAAATGCAGTAATTTTCTTGAACTACAAGCATCACTTTCAACTTTTTTTTGCAAAAGATTGTCAAAAATTCCAAGCTTTTTCTAGGCTTAAAGTTTAGTCTTAAAGTTCCTTAGCCTACATTGACTTACACACACACACGCACACACACTCGTGAATACACGCACACACACACACACACACGTACGCACACTCCTACCCTTGTATAAACTTGCTTAGACTTCCAACTAAGACTATTTAAAGCATTGTGCAAAGAGTAACATGGATTTTTAATGCAGCAAGATATATATTGCTGAATAAAGGCATGTTGCTAAAACTTTTTGTCTTGTACTCACCAGGACAATTTGCAAGAAGTACTAATGCATAGAGGAAATATGTTTGATACAGAATGAGAAGACAGTACTGATTGATTGACAAGTATATCTTGATTGGTAGAGGCATTGCAATGAAGAATACAGCAGTCACTGATGCCTGACAGTTAACTGTCAAGTTTTGTTTAAACTTAAACCAGGCACATTGATTCTGATAGGTCAAGGCCTTTCTCTGAGGAATGAACCATGGAATGGCTGCCCCTTATTTTGTGACATTGAAATAGACAAAGAAGGTAAGATGAAAAGCTGCAACAAAATGTTTAATTTTTCAGCAATACTCAAGTTCTAAAGTATCAAATGTCCAAAGATCCTTCACAAAAGTGTATTAAACAAAATTTGACACCAAACCGCATGAGGAGGTATTAGTACAGATAGTCATCCATTTGGTCAGAGGTGGGTTCTAAACAGCTTCTTGAAAGAGAAGAGATAGATAGAGAGCTTGAGAGAATAAGGGAGAAAAAGTCAGAGCTTAGGAATAAGGTAACTGGAAGCACAGACCCCACTGGTGAAGTGATGAGATTTAGGGAAGTATAAAAGGCCAGAGTTAGAGGGGTGAAAATCTTGCAGGATTATAATAATGGAAATGTCACTGAGATAGCTGGGGGAAGAGGGAGGCTGGCAAAGTCATGGAAGAATTTGTGAAATATGCTTAAAATATTGAAGCCATGACATTGTTGGACTGCAAGCACAGGCCATTGTAGTAGCATTCATTTATCAACACATGTTGGTGCCAGTTGTTACAACCAGTTTGAAAGAGGGGTGATAAACTCCCCTCTTTCTGAAACTACATCTCAGTCTGTTGCAAACAAGTATTTTTCTTTCCTTTTAAGCACATAGCTATCACATTTCAATTAAACTTAATTAACCAAATCAAAATTGAAGGGGAGCCAAATCCAAGGTTACCTTGAGTGAAAAGAATTTTTATTACCAAGTAAAACTGACAAAAATAAGGAAACACAACACCTGACACATACACACAAACACAGGTATTGAGCTTACAAGATGAAGGAGGAAGGAGAGTGTCTATACAGACAAAAAGTTACAGGCAATTGTAGTTTAAAGTTTTGTGTCCTTGAGTTGTGAGAGTGAAATTTGAGGCCCAATATTTTAACCATTGTCTTGTTTCCTCAGGAGTGGTGACCCTCACGGATAATTTGATTGCTCAGTTAAACTCCCCTTTATCCAAGTTGCTTTTTTCAATAGGCACGGGCTTTAGAGATGGAAACTGTGAGAGGGAGAAAGAGAGAGAGAGAGATAGGCAGAGAGACAGTGTCTTCCCCCAATTCTTACAAGTCCAGATCTTTGTTGCCCAGGAACAGCTGTTGATATAGGCCCATTTGTATATTCCTGAGTTGCTCATTGACTTTCCAAGCTGATTTATCCATGGACAATGAGATAACAAGGTGCAGAGCTGGATGAACACAGCAGGCCAAACAGCATCAGAGGAGCAGGAAAGCTGATGTTTCGGGTCTGGACCCTTCTTCAGAAGTGGGGTAGGGGAAGGGTATTCTGAAATAAATAGAGAGAGAGAGGGGGAGGTGATGATGGAAGGTGGATAAAGGAGCAGATAGGTGGAGAGGAGACAGACAGATCAAGGAGGCGGGGATGGGGCCAGTAAAGGTGAGGGTAGGTGGGGAGCTAGAATGGGGGTTGGTCAGTCAAGGG